AGGTAATGGTAACCAAATGTAGTTCACACCATTCTCTCTAAACCAGAGGTGCCCAAAGTGGGGCCCGCGGGCCAAAATTGGCCCACCAAACCATTTGATTTGGCCCACCAACAGTTGTCCTGGTAATTAGATTATTATGCTCAGATTGAATATAAAATTCAAGTAACTACAAGAGACATTTAGATTAGATTTAAGCCCATATCTAGATTTGCACACCTTAAAAGACCCCATATACCCAATTTTTAAATTATGAATAGTTTCATGAGCCTTTGCTGACATTGCATTGACTTTGCATACATTGAATTTTCTCCATGTCCATGAGCCAAAAAAAAAAATGTAAGCAACCACACTAGCTCCTGGCTTAATCATAAAAATAAAACAAGTTTATGTAAGAAGTATTTGCATTTCTTATATTATTGCATTTGGCCCGCGACCCTCAGATAGATTTTAATTTTGGCCCTCTCAGTGAAAATGTTTGGGCGCCCCTGCTCTAAACTATACGTTTTACTGATTTAAATAAAAAAATTGCATTAACATCTGAGAATTTAACACCTGCAAATAAGAAACAAGGCTGACAAACCTGTTTTACTACTGTGATCATAAAAAAAAGCATCCAATTAGCTTCTTCCATTTAGATTTTTATTTTTTAATGGCAGGCAGGAAGACTGACAAGGCATTCATCTAGAGTTAGCCAATAAAATGCATTCTTTAGAAAATTTCATTAATTATATTGTCAATTTTTATTACCTATTTTCAATATATAAACTTTGTTTTACAATAATATTAATTCCGTCATGAATAGGATGCTTCTGTTCTCGAGTATTTGCTGCCCCCTGCTGTCCACTCAGGAACATTACATCTGTGTTGACGCTTTTTCTCATAAGACTTCAAGTTTTGCTTCTCTGAATGAGTGAAGCTTACAAAAGCAATTTCACAGGCACGAGTTTCTCCAAACTTTCTCCACCTGTGACCCAGAAAGGAAGAAGCAGGTATAGATAATGGATGAAAAAAAAAAACCCTCCAGAAATTAAACTGAAGCAAAATCACTCAGGAGGTGAAGTGAAAGCTGATTCATGTGATCAAGAATAGAAATGATGTGATTCATCAGGTGGGCAAAAGTTATAAAAAATTTTTAAAACTAATAATAAGTGAATAATATATGTATAATCGTACAAAGCAAGCTCATTCTTTGGATGTTAACTTTTTTTATTTGAACGCTAATACTGTTTCTTCACCCAAATTACCAATTTTAGATTAAATGTTACAGGTACTTTGGGACATTTAAACTAAAGAGACCAAACCAACAAGCATCACTACTGTATGCACCACAAAACTTGAATAAAATCATCAAATATTTTAATACAGAACCAGAGAAATGTTGTATACAACAAGCTAAGCTTAAGTATATGAGAGAATATTCTGCTAATGTCAGATTGGGGAGTTTCTTCTTGAATTTTAACCACTGAGTCATAATAATTCAATTTAAGCTAGATTTAATGAACTGAATACATATATGATAGCACATGCATGTTGTATCTTTAAATTATTATTAATGACTTTAAACGGAAACACGTCACAGTGCGTCACTGAATCACCTCGTTATTTTACATGCAGGCGAATGTTATAA